CACCTTGGGACGCCTCGTGCCTACCTTGGGAAGAAAGGGCCATCTTGGGCGCTCCAACGCGTCGCGGCCCCCCTTGTCCAGTTCCAGGGGAGGGGGTAGGGGGAGGGGTCAAGACTCCCTCCCCGCCCGCAAGCCGTCTCGCTCACTCCCACCCGCCCTCCCAACACATACGCAGCACCCGAGCTTGGCCCGAGCCGCAGCAGATTCAGTTGTCTTTGGATGGGCAGCTACTGGGGGGGAATCCGCCGCCGCCGCCGCCTCCGCCGCCGCCGCCGCCCGCTGCCGCCGCCGCCGCCGCCGCGCCGCCGCCGCCGCCCGCCGCCGCGTCCGCAACTGCCGCCGCGCCGCCCGCCGCCGCCGTTCGCCCGCCGCCGCCGCCGCCGCCGTCGTCCCCGCTGCCGAATCGCCGCCGCCGCAGCCGCATGCTGCAGCCGCTGCCGCCACCGCTGCCGCCGCCGCCGCCGCCACCGCCACCGCCGCCGCCGCCGCCCCCGCCGCCGCCGCCGCCACCGCCGCCACCGCCGCAGCCGCCGCAGCCGCCGCCGCCGCTAAGTGTCCTCTGTATTTTTTTTTTGAGTGGGATGGTGGGAGCATGCTCCGAATTTGGAGGCAGAGTGTGTTTTGCACTGTTTGTTACGAGGAATGGTGGGGGGGGGGCCGCATTGAACCTTGGTGGCTCCCAGTCGCCTGGGGGAGGGGGTGTATATTAATAGGGAACAGTGATAAACCTCCTCCCCGAAGTGGAAGACGGGGGGTTGGAAGAGGAAGCGCCCTGGGCCACCTACGCTTAAGTCGGGCCTGCCCCTCTAGAAGAAGAGTGTTCAAACATAGTTTTTTTAAATAGCCCGGGGACGATGTTATGGGGGTATGTTTGATTATTGGTTAGTTGTGTTTGGGTATTTCGTTAACCAACTATTGTCCAAAACCCGCCTGTAGGGGGACATGTCCGACCTAGACCTACGCCCAGAGGGCTGGTGGGATTCCAACGCCCGGATCTCAGGACGGCTTCAGTTGGTTTGTGTGCGGTTGTCGTCGTCGCCCGCCACCTCCAGCAGGGCCGCGACCCTGACGCTGCCGTCGGCCCTGACCACCTCCGCTCGCAGTCCCACCAGGCGCCAGACCATGCCGACGCTCCGCTTGGAAGGCGCGCCGTCGCCGCGCCGCTGTCGCCTCACCCGCCGCCGCCATCACCGTCGTCGTCGTCGTCGTCGTCGTCGTCGTCGTCGTCGTCGTCATCGTCATTGTCATCGTCGTCGGCGTCGTCGTCTGTCGTCGTCCTCCGTCGTCCTCGTCTTCCGTCGTCGTCCGTCGTGGTTGTCGTCGTTCATCGTCGTCGTCGTCGTCGTGTCGTCCGTCGTCCTCGTCGTTGTCGTCGTCGGCGGCGTCGTCCGTCGACAACGACGTCGACGTCGTCGTTGTCGTAGTCGACGTCGTAGTTCGTCGTCGTCGTCGTCCTCCTCATCCGTCTTTATCGTCGTTCGTCGGTCGTCGTCGTCTGTCGGGGTCGTCGTCGTCCTCGTCGTCCACGTCGCTGTCGTCGTCGGCGTCGTCGTCGACGTCGACGTCTACGTCGTCGTTGTTGTCGACGTCGTAGGTCGTCGTCGTCGTCGTCGTCGTCGTCCGTCGTTGTCGTCGTTCGTAGGTCGTCGTCGGCATCGTCTGTCGGCGTCGTTGTCGTAGGTCGTCGTCGTTCGTAGGTCGTATGTCGTCGTTCGTAGGTCGTATGTCGTCGTTCGTAGGTCGTATGTCGTCGTTCGTAGGTCGTCGTCGTCTGTCGTCAGTCGTCGGATGTCGTCGTCGTCTGGGGAGTTGGCGGTGGTGGCCACTCTGTAAGGGAAACAAGTCCCGAGCAGAGCAAAACGTACCACGACCACGACGACGCCGACAACGACGACGAAGAAGACGAGGCGCGCAGACGACCCGCACCGAAGCACGGATTAGGGAAAGGTCCCACTATTCATGTTCAGTAGAACAGCACATCGTTGAGCGGTGTTGCAGCCTCCTTTTAGAACAGGCCCTCCCAGAGCATCAGCCAGGCAAGTCGGGTTTGCACCTCACGCCTTGCTGGACTCAGGGCGCGTTTCGGCATTGCCACTGCCGCCGCCACACCCTCGTGAGGGCCACCGACTCGGGTGACGGCGACAGCGACAGCGGCGGTGTCCGACGCGTCCCAGAGCTAAGAAGCTCTAAGGACCGCGGCTCAGAGAGCTTGGAAGCCAGACAGATGCACGGACAGCCAGGCGGCGTGCAATGCGTGTCGCGCCATGTGGGTCGTCACCGCATGAGGGAACCACGGCCCGAGCATAGCAACACGCACCACGACGACGACGCCGAGACCGATGACGAAGAAGACTCGCCAGAGGAGGAGGAGGAGGAGGAGGAGGAGGAGGAGGAGGAGGAGGAGGCCATGCGGAGAGCGGGCAGGGGGAGGTGGGGAGGCTTCTTAGGAACACCCCTGCTTGTTTGAAGCATCCCTGCTTCTCAAGAGAAGGCCTTCTTCTGAGAAGCCTTCCCCCTCTCCCCCTACGCCCCTTGTGCACACCGCCAAGCGAGGGGGAGGGCGGAGGCGGAGGAGGACCTTGGGGAGGGCGGAGGCGGAGGATGAGGAGGAGGATCGTGTCCGCGCGCGCCTGCGGCATGCGGCATAGCAAAGGAAGGAGGGTTTTTGTCTTGCAGGGCGCCGCTGCCAGTCAAACTCCAGAGCGCAAGAGCATGCAGGGGTTAGCAAGCAGGGACGACACACAAAGAGCATCCATCTTTTTTCGCAGTTTGCGAGGGTGGAGGACCTTGGCGAGCTCTCTGCAAGACCTCGAGCTGGTGCTCAGGCAAGGCGTGCGGTTCCAGGGAAACGACCTGCTGCCCATCGGCCGCACTCGCTTCAGAAATGTGTTTTTTTTCTGCCACAGGGCATGGGAGGAATTGCCTGCCTTATCCGCAACACACGGCGACGCCCCAAACACTCCAAGCACTCCAGACCCGCACGACGGGTGGAAAGGTGAAGGGGGAGGAGGAGGATGAAAAGGAGGAGGAGGAGGAGAAGGAAGAGGAGGGAGTAGGAGGGAGGAGGAGGGAGGAGGAGGAGGACAAGGAGGAGGGAGGAGAAGAGGGGGTGGGCGGAGACCCAATTCTGCCTGTAACGCCTTCCTACTTCATGTTTCTACCCCTTTCTTCCGACCGACGGGTATGCTTTCGGCGGTCCACGCGGATTTCTGCCCAGAGAGCCGACGCGCCACAACATCTGAGCGGCCCTTTTTTGCCGTTCTCGGTCTCTGGCGGGCCTCGCCGAGCCTCGGGATGGTGAAAGAACGACTCCGGGCGAGCCAGCCCTAGGGAAGTGGTCCAGACCTCCAGGGCCCACTCATCGAAACAATTCGAGCGAGCGGATGTCAGGGTCTCAAGGGAGGCACAACCATCCCGACCCCCATCACTGGCGTTTGTTAGGCGGCACTGGGCGTTTCCTAGGAACAGCCTGCCCTGTTCGATTTCCTGCATTGGGTGCGTTTCTTCTCAGCGGCTTAGTTTGTTGGGTTACTTGTTGTGCGGGTGGTTGCTTTGCTCTCTAATCTCGGATCTGCGTTGGCACCCCATGGCGGCGCCTCTGGCGCCGACACTGGCGCGCTCCGCGCGCCAGGGAGGGGGGCCCCAGCGCAGATCCAAGAAGTTCGCGCGGACATCCGAAAGTTTAGGTTTATCCACTGCTTGTCCACCACGAGGGTGCGAAGTTAGTCGCGTGTCGCGGCCAGGGCGACTCCAGAGCGATGCGCGAGTCCCTCCTGCTCCGCGTGGGGGCGGCGCGAAAGCGCGAAAGCGTGAAGATACTCGCGCTTCGCGGAGCGCGAAGCGCGAAGACAGTTGTCCTCGGTTTGTGGACGACGATCAATGGAGAGGAAGCATGTTGCCAAACCATTCCCATATGTTTTCTGTGTAAATGGCATGGTTTGAACATGTCGTACATATGTAAAACACATATATTAATAACCATTTTCATAACATGGTCACCGAGATGTTAAACACGTGTTTAATGCACCGATCGGATTGTTAGGATGCCCACTGCCATGGCATCCACAACCCCAGATGTAGTGATTGTAGTGGCCTTCGGCCAGTGCCGCCGATCCGGGTCGCTCGGATACACATATTACGCGGACACCTCACGCACGCACACGACCAAATGCACATACGGCAGACACACATACAGAGACACACTAGGCGCACGCCAGACACTAGCACGCACAGACATTCGCAGACACGCACCACACACAGACACTCGCACAGGAGCCTGTCAGGGCGTCGAGGGGGCTTCTTGGGGGCTTTTGGGGCCCCTCTTGGGGGCTCTTGGGGCCTCCTGGGGGCCTCGTGGGCTGGAAGGCTAGATTTTTTCCGCTTTTCGTCCCTCTTTTGGGTCCTCTTGGGGCCGTCTTGGGGGCCTCCTGGGCCGTCTTGGGTAGCTTTTGGGCCGCCTTGGGGCCCTCTTGGGCCGTCTTGGGACTGTCTGGGGGCCTCCTGGGCCGTCTTCGAGCGGTCTTGGGGGCCTCTTTGGCCGTCTTGGAGCGTCGGAAAGCCGAAAAAAGCGACAACCCCAAAAACATAAAAAAAACGGAAATCAACGATTCTTGCCTCTGGGGGCCCTCGTGGGAGGCCTCTTGGAGGCTTCTTCAGACGTCTTGGAAGGCTCTTGGGCCGTCTTGGGGCCATCTTGGGCGTGTTCGGGCGATCTTTCGGGGTCTCGGGACTTTCGTAGACCGTCCTAAGAGACTTTTGCGGCCGCGGCCACCCTTGTAGCGCATCCTCGAGATTCGAGCCTTCTGTAAAAGCAGCCCCCCCCTGCATCCGCCGGAAACTCGCACCCCCCCCCCATCCCCCCTTCCCCCCTTCCCCGGCAGAGCCACCCCGGCAACCCCCCCAGAGGCTGAGGCTCAGCCTCGAGGCTGTAGCTGAGACTCCTTGAAACTCACACGCCGGATCGGCGGATTTGTTATTCTGGCCACCCGCTCTCGGCAGAGGCGTCGCCGCCGCCCTGCACGGCGGGGCCTGCGAGCACGGCGACGTGGACTTGGCGGAGCTGTACCGGCTGGGCGAGTGCCTCTGCCGCGGCTCCGGGCAGACAACTTTCGGGGAAAAGATGAGTTGATGGGCCTGTCTTCCAGCACCACCACCAGAAGTTGGAGGTGGGGAAGGAGGTGGAGGATGAGGACGAGGAGGAGGAAGAGGAGGAGGAGGAGGACCCCGTCCTCCTACTTATTTTGGCGGCGGTGGAAAACGAGCCCACCAGAAATGGCATCAACAGAAAACTTTCTGAGGTACGCGCGGATGCCTCGGATCGGCGCTGGGGCCCCCTGGCGGCGCCTGAGGCGCCGCTCCTGGCGCGCGGAGCGCGCCAGGGCAAGGGGTCCATCGCCGATCCAAGGAATCCGTGTGGACCAACGAAAGCTTCTGTTTGCGCCAGTACTTGATCCGCGAAGCTCTGCATAAGTTTCGACTTCCGGAGGAGAGTGACCTCCGGGAGCTTACTTTTGCCACGTTTCTCCTAACGAAGGCAGCGGCTCCTTCGGGAAGCGGGTCCTGAGCTTTGGCCGTTTTGGGGGGCTTCCTCCCCGTGGCCCCAGGACCGCGGGCTGGTACCGAGGGAAGGCCCCAGGGGCCCAGAACCCCTTGCCCTCAGGCCATGTGTCTCGCACGATGAGGGATAGAGGATTGTCGATGATGATGACGATGATGATGATGATGATGATGATGATGATGATGCTGATGCTGATGCTGATGCTGATGATGATGATGATGATGATGATGCTGATGCTGATGCTGATGATGATGCTGATGATGATGATGCTGATAATGCTGATGCTGATGATGATGATGATGCTGATGCTGATGATGATGATCATGATGATGATCATGATGATGATGAGGATGATGAGGATGATGAGGATGATGAGGAGGAGGAGGAGGGAGAGATGATGATGAGGAGGAGGAGAGGGAGGATGAGATGATGATGCTGATGATGATGATGATGATGATGATGATGATGATGATGATGATGATGCTGATGATGATGATGATGTTGGTGCTGATGCTGATGCTGATGCTGATGCTGATGCTGATGATGCTGATGATGATGCTCATGATGATGATGATGATGATTATGATGAATGGATGATGATGATGATGATGATGATGATGATGATGATGATGATGATGATGATGATGATGATGATGATGATGATGATGATGGATGATGATGATGATGATGATGGATGATGATGATGATGATGATGATGATGATGATGATGATGATGATGATGATGATGATGATGGATGATGATGATGCTGATGATGATGATGATGATGATGATGATGATGATTTATGATGATGATGATGATGATGATGATGATGCTGATGGTGATGATGGTGATGATGATGATGATGATGATGATGATGATGATGATGATGATGATGATGATGATGATGATGATGACGATGTTGACGATGACGACGACGACGACGAGGACGAGGAGGAGGAGGAGGAGGAGGAGGAGGAGGAGGGAGGAGGGAGGAGGAGGAGGAGGAGGATGAGGAGGAGGAGGAGGAGAAGGAGAAAACGGATGAGGAGGAGGAGAAGGAGGTTGAGTACGAGGACGAGGACGATGACGAGGACGAGGAGGAGGAGGATGAGGAGGTTGAGGACGAGGACGAGAACGAGGACGAGAAGGAGGAGGAGAAAGGGGAGGAGGAGGAAGGGGAGGAGGAGGAGGAGGAGGAGGAGGAGGAGGAGGGGGGGGAAGGGAGAGAGGAATGGAGGGAGGGTTGGATGCAAGAGAGAGGAAGGAGGGAGAGGTGAGGATTCGCTGGACTGGCTGCCCGACAACTGCTCTGGAGGCCGCTGCCTGGTTCATTAATTTGGCTTTCCGAGCCCGCACGGTCGTCATGGGCCGGCAGAGGAGGAGGAGGAGGAGGAGGAGGAGGAGGAGGAGGAGGTGGAGGAGGAGGACGAGGAGGAGGAAGAGGAGTAGGAGGGAGGAGGGAAGCAGATGAAGGAGCAGGGAAGCAGGACAGGAGGAGGCGGTGAAGGCCATAATCTTCGTTCCCAAGAACAGCTCCCAGTGGCAGAAGTTGCTGGCAAACCGCCCATCGTGAGTTTTTCGAGACGCCTTGAGGACTGGGACATGAGCTTGGACCCCCCCAGACTCTCCACCCTCTAAGCACCACCAGGCTTTGTGGCAAGGGGGGACGGAACCGAGGAGGGAAGGTTTCGAGGAGAGAAAATTAGCGATGAGGACGCAGAAGGAGGAGAGGATGGTGCAAGGAGGGATGGGAGGATGGATGATGACGAGACTTTGCCCTAGCCCTTCCTTCTCCCCCCTCCCTCCTCGTCGTCCCTCTCCCCATCGCCCTCCTCTCACTCGCTTGTCGGAGGTAGCAACTATCGCAAAGTGTGTCTCCTCATAGGGCATGCGCGCACGCATGATCTTCGGCTGCGATGTTCAGCAGCCTGCGCGCACGCAACATCTTCGGCTGCAAGTCTGCCCCATGGACGTTCAGCCCGCTTTGACACTGACGGAGACGAGACACCACCTCCACCAGGGGAGCCACTTCCAGCGAGTGGCTCCGCGATGCCTCCCCGAGCCAGAGATGGGACATGCCCGGAGCGGGGATGACGGACCACACCACCGGGATCAGCGGCTAGCCCAGGGGAGAAGCGAGAGGGGGCGCGCCCCGGCCTCCTCAGAGGTGTTCGAAGTCAAGGGAGGAAACACCACCGGGACCGGACAACTGGCGTCTACTAACGGCCCTGGGCGGTTACCAAACAGCCCTGCCCTCTTTGATTCCTTCTCTCGGCGCGTCTGCCAAACGACTTCGCATGTCGGGGTGGTTATGATGATTACGGGGGTGGGATCCGCGGTGGTTATTATGGGGGTGGTTAACTATGATGATGATTCTGATTATTATGGGGGTGGTTATTATGATTATGGGGGTGGGATCCGCGGCCAGCCCGGGGGGAGGGCAGCGCGAGGGGGCGCGCCCGTGCCAGCAGGCTCGCAACCCCTCCGGCCTCCCGAGAAGTGCCCGGAGCCTGCCTTCCCCGAGAGGGCGCGGCAGACGGCTGGAGGGCTCCCGAGAGAGGCCCCCGCCGCCTTCCGAGAAGGCCTCCTCCTCCTCCTCCTCCTTCTGCTCTTCCTCCTCGCTCCTCCTCCTCCTCCTCCTCCTCCTCCTCCTCTTCCTCCTCCGTGTCCTCCTCCTCCGCCTCGTCCTCGCTCCTCGTCGCTCCTCCTCTTCGCTCCTCCTCCTCCTCGCTTCCCTCTCTCAGCAGAAGTGATGTCTGCTCTCCGTTTTTTTCCATGCCTGCCTGTCAAGCTTTGCGGGAGCTTTTGCCTGAACAGTCGCCTACAGCAAACAAAAATCGCAGACATGAGTCAAGGGGGCGTGGATCAACGACGGGTCCCGTTTCCATGGGAAACCGTGGACTTCCGCCGCCGAGCGAGGCGGCCACGGCACCTTCATGGGTTTTGCGACCGCGCGCCACATCCACGGATCGCTAATCCATGTTTGCGCGCCCCCGATTCTGAGACGCCCCGCCGCCTTCTGAGAAGGCCTCCTCCTTCTCATTTCCCTCATCTCGCTCGCCGTCGATCGGAGGACCCCCCTTGGCTCTCTGCGCTGGTGATTGTGGTGGTGTCGCTCTTCCTTGTTGCTCCTGAGGTAAGTCGGGCACGTCACTCTACAGGAGGAGAATTCAAAAGTAGACAACACGTAGTCTGGGGACGATGTTTCGACTATCGTTTGCCTATGTGTTGATTGTGGTTTGACTATGTTCAAGTTTTGCCCTGAATCCGCACGTTGGAGGACGTGCCCGACCTGATCCTGAGGCCGAAAGACGCTGGAACGAGGAGCGCTTCGGGTTCGGAAGGGACCTCGGTGCTCCGGAGGTCACTCCGTGGCCGTTCCTCCAGAGCGACTCGCGCACCCGGGGGCTCCCGGGGCCTCGGGGCCCAGTTTGGGCCCTGGTGAGCTGTTTGCTGTCCTTACCCCTCGGTCGTTGAAAGCAGGTAGTTCTGGAGTCCCAGGTTCCAGTCTACCTTGAGCGCCTTCCTACTTCAGTGATCGAGTGGCTTCACCTTTTCCGTCCCCCTTGGGCGGCGGAAGGATCTCGACCTACGTTCAGCGCCTGCCTACTTCCTGCTTCTACCTGCTTCTTCCGACCGGTCGGTACCGTCTCCTGCTGCTTGGCTCTGCCCCTGCCTCCCCCCCTCCTCGTCCGCCCCCCGCAGCTGTCTGCGCGTGGGAGGACGGTGCAGGCAGGGCCAGAGCGCCCCAGTAGCGCGAGCGACCCCCCCCCCTGGACGAAGTGGCCTCAGCTCAGCAAGGCCAAACTAGATGCTGCAATGCTGCAGTGCTTTAGTCGCAGATGGGAAGTAGCCCCAAGCTGGGAGGAGGAGGAGGAGGAGGAGGAGGAGGAGGAGGAGGAGGAGGAGGAGGAGGAGGCGAAGGTTTGGGCTCCAAAGCTTGGCAGGCACCGACCCCGATTTTGGTGTGACCTGCCAGGCGCAGCCTGGACCTCACGCGTGCCCTGCTGGGCCGCAACATATTCACTTCTTACACATTGTCTGGCACCGTGAAGCTCTTTTCTTCCCCTTGCTTCGTAGTTAGCAAGCACGGCAGGCAAGCGTTCCTGCCCTGAACCCGCCTGGCACAGACGAAGACGCCAGCATAGGGCACGTGCAAGGACCCTACTGAGAACGCTACGCGCAGGTGAGCTCCTTCGGTCACATCATTCAGCCCAGAAGCAGCCAGACATGTTCCCGACGAGGGCAGCTGGGCCAAAACCTGGACAAGTATGGCATTGTGAGATATGCCATCGAACTGTAAAAGGACATTATTGGACATGTTTATGCGGGCAGCACTTCGACAATAATTATCAACATAATGGAACATTCATGAATGCCAACGGACGTAATCTTCAGGAAGTGCCACGACCCAGAGCACCCAGCCAGGGGCGAGGCACTGGAAAAGGCAAAGGAAAGGAGTTCCAGCAGATGACAAAGCAGTTCCGCGCCTTTATAGCACGCATTGTTCCCATCACATGGGCGGAGAGTTGCTCCATGCCCTGGGCCGCTGTATACGAAGAGCCACCGACCGAGCCAACGGCAGTCAAAGAGTTCAAGACCAGGATATACAAACGCATGGACAGCCTAGCCTCACTCGCCACTGCTGCTCGTGAGGCGGACAAAGCCAACGATGGTATCATAGCGGAGTTAGCATGCCTCAAGTTCATGGTACAGAGCACGGATAAGGTCACTACTCAATTGTCCAAGTTGCGACAGATGAGAGATTCAGCGTGCGATCGGCTGCGTTCCACTCGTGAGCGCATTTCAAAGTTGCAAGATGACGAGCGACAGTTATCCAATGAACTAGAGGCCATCCAGAACAATATCGCAGAGGTCAAAGAGCTTGAGCAGTATTAGACAGATGACATTCAAGTTGACGGTGAATGGATTGGAGTTGGAGTGCCACTTCAGCGTGTTCCAGTCGCACACCATCAAGGGCATGGTCAGCACATGCCACATGGGCCTGGGCCAGGCCCGCCTGGAGGAGCCATGCCGGTGCCGCCGCCCCCCCAGCCTCCCATGCAGCCTGGCATGGCCGCATGCTGTGGAGGAGGCGCAGCGGGGTCGGGCAAGGGCGCTTGGCAGCCGCCACCGCCGCCACCGCCTGCATACGCAGGCATGGGCGCTGCGGCCGCGGCACAGCCAGCGCCGGCTGCTCCTCCAGGCCAGCTCGACCAGATGATCACGATGATGAGGCAGATGATGGAAAGGTCATCACGGCAAGAAGAAGCGATCGTCCAGCTCGGCATGACAGTCAGAGGCATGCAGCATGCAGCAAGCGTGGGGGGTCAAGGGCCGGTGCTAGAAGCCAGGACTGCACCGAAGGCCGTTTCCCCCATGCCTGGCACAACCGCCGATGTTCCAGTCCCTGCGACGCCACCCACATCTCCGTCGGGAGTGGCGCCGACGCCCGTCGCAGCGACACCGAAGGCAGACCATCCCATGCAGGTGACCCCGCCCAGCCACGGCCGCACACAGCGTTCCCCGACGCCGCCGCCAGCGCAGCCAGATCCGACAACCCCGATTGCGCCATCCAGCTATGGGCCCCATGCTACGCCGAATCCGCCAGCCAAGGGCAACTCGCAGGCCGACCCGTTCCAGGAGCTAAAGGAGGAAGTCAAGAAGGAGGAGCGCGCTGGCGGGAAAGGGCAAGGAGAAGACGAGAGCATGCGACCCAGATTCCCTTCCCGAGCACCTTCGAGGGCATACCTCCCACCCAGCCGTTCATGCCGTTCACAGCGGAGGAGGACCCAGCGTTGCAAGGGCCGCCGAGCGTGACCGACCTAAAAGGCAAGACAGTCATAGATGTGAAGGAGAGCCAGTCGTCCCAGATGACCCCCAGCCAGGTAGCCGAGGCAGTCCGTGCAATCGAGAAGGCGCACCGCGCCACGGGCTCAGAGCCTGCAAGCCATGCAGCCTCTTCGGCGGCTGGGGGCGTTTCCAATGGGCAGGCGATGGCCGCCCCGCTGGGCCCCGACACTGCCAGCCCGCCTCGCAAGCAAGCGAGGGGCACTGCGTAGAGCATCCTAGTTGCGAGAGCCAGCCATTTTGGCTAAAGAGCTCACTGTCTCCCCTCCCTCATCGTATTCACCTTCATCGTGCATCGCTGCTATACCTCATATGCACATGCTTCCCCACTCCCGATAGCATATATCAGGCCATTGCTAGCCTGGAAATCTTCTGCCCGAGTTTTTGCACGCCTGGGTGCGAGGACAGCTTGGAGTGCGTTTGTGCTGCTGTGGGTCCAGTGGCATCTCATGTTGAGCTTGTGTACGCTTCCTCCTTTTTCCATTCTCGGCAGCGCCATAGTCCGAGCAACAGATCAGGGCCCAAAAAAGTTGGTTGGTTGCACGATGGGGATTATGGTCATGAGGGGGACTCTTGTCCAGATCACGTTGTGCCAGTTACTACCCTATTCAATAGCATGCATTCTGTTCCTCCAGGGTATATTGGAGATTTCGAATCGCAGGTTGCTCTTGAAAAGGAAAGGATGTTTCAACACTTGGGTGAGCAATTGAGCTCACCTCCGCGCCCTCGGCGCGGCTCTAGCTTTAAGCGCACACCGACCAGAACCGGGGGGGGGCAGTGAGATGGAGGACTAGAAGGATGAGGAGGGACACTACTGTGCAATGCGTGGCCAGGGATGTTGGCCAGGTTGAGCGACCGTCGGGTATCCACGCGTCGAACCCTGGCCACTGCCTGGCCCCGCCCACTGTACCCAGTGATCTCCCCGAAGAGGCCTTGCATGTGCTAGCCCGTCTCGTGCTCGATGCTGCCTTGCCCGAGGAAAAAATGACACAACCAGACGTGTTCTTTGCGGGTCAGCCGCGTGCTGCTGTGTACCAATGCCTGCAAGCGCTGTTCACACTTTTTACGGTCGTACGCTTGAAGATCTAAGCGTGTCTCACTCTCTAGCCCATGCGTGGGCGTCACTTTACCAGTTCTGCAACTTAATTGAAGGGGACTACGGAAGTATGGCTACCTCTCGATTTGCTGTGCTGATCTGTCGTTGGTTCTCGCTTTCTGTGGCGACCCGTGTCAAGGCTCGACTTGGTCACTTCCCTCGGAACCCGTGCCCTCCCTTGCGCAGGAACCCAGGGCCGCGCGTGGTGCTGAGGAGACTGCTAATGTTTGTTTGGCCGCCCCAGGGGGGCCCTCGGCGTCTGATGTTGTGGATGCTCACCAGTTTCCCGAGCCGTGTCTGGACGTGCCTGACCCCGATGTCCTCCCCACTGAAGCTCGCTTGGCCCTTGAGCTTTGTCCAATCCGAGAGGGAGCTTGGGACTCGCTTCGCATCTACACGGATGGACCTGCCAAGCATGGTGATGACGAGATTGCAGCTTGGGCCTTCGTCATAATTAGGAGAGATAACCAAGGCTTCTCGTGCAATGGAAGATTCTCTGGAAGAGTGGCAAGCACCTGCAGGTCTGTGCCGATCCACGCCCTTACGAGTACCGACTCTGAGTTTGCTGCATTACTATGGGCCATTATTTTTCTTCTTGCCTCTCCTGACCCACTTCCCGTTCATTTGGAAAGTGATTCCTTGACTGCCGTTCGCACCTTGAATGGTTTGCAGGGCCCCTCACACTTGGACCCTCTGGCGAGGATCACCGCTTCACTATGGCTGGTTCTCTCGGAGAGGCGTTCTTGCTTGCTCACGCATGTGAAGGGCCACTCTGGGCACCCTTGGAACACTCTGGTTGATTTCTTCGCTAGAGGCACCCTGCTGGTCAAGGTGCCCCCCTCTGTTCTGCCCGACGGCCTTATCGAGGCCACCCTTTATCACTTGGGTAGGGGCTGGGAGTGGCTACGCGCGCTCTCGGGGGAACATGCTGCGGTTTTCCTCAGTGGGTGACCCCCGTCAACACGCCCTTGCCCACATGTTGCGCGGGCGTGGGCCATGTCAGCAAGCTGACTCGTGTGAAGACGGTCAAGTCCTCAGGAGAGCGTGTGTCTTTGCTTGTGTGCCAGTATAATGCCAAACCGACATCCACTAAGAAGGCCTGGGGGGCCAAGGGGAAGGCTCGGAGGGCTCGTAACAAATCGCTCAGGTTGCAGTTTGCTCGATTGGGGGCCCATATTGTAGGGGTTCAGGAGGCTAGGACCCCCAGAGGCATGCGCTCTGCTGATGATTTCTGGATCGTCTCCTCTGGTTGTGCTAAGGATGACGAGTGTGGAGGGCTGGGCGTGGAGTTGTGGATAAGCAAGAAGCTCCCATATGCTTCTGTTGGGTCCAGGGAGCTCTGTTTTTCCTTGCCCCATATCAAGGTAATTGTTGCGTCCTCCAGGATCCTACTAGTCCGCATCTGTGCGCCTGCCTTGAGGATTGTAGTTGCTGTTGCTCATGCGCCCCACATTAAGCGACCCGTCCACGAGAAAGTTAAGTTCTGGCAATCCATGGGACAGTTGTGTGACAAGTGGCCCCCCCAAATGGTTCTCATAGATGCCAATGCTCGTGTGGGCTCTGTTCTCTCTTCGGTTGTGGGAGACAAGGGGTTTGTCCAGGACCAGGACTCCAATGGAGACGATTTACATGAATTTGCCTCTGCAGCCTCGTTGCACATTGTCAATGCCCTCCTGCCAGATCCAGAGAGCGGTCACACCTTCGTAGAGAATGGAGGTGCTAGACACCGCATTGATTACATCCTGGCAGACCAGAGTTTGATGGTGACCGCAGCCAGTGCCGAGGTTCACTACTCCTTTGATAACGTCATGTCGTGTCGAGATCATTACCCACTCTCGGCTCGCTTCGAATGGGCCTGCGAGCCCTTTGATGTGCAAATTGGCCGCTGTCCCAAGATGGACCCTCGTCGCCTAACCTCTCAGGCTGAACAGGCGGATTTCCAGGCCAGGGTGGCCCAGGCAGCGTGCATATCTTGGGACACGGATATTAATGACCACCTAGAGACGTTTTCCTCCCAGGTGCTCGAGGGGGCCTCTGCGGCCTTTGGGTATCTTGGAAGGGCCCCAGTGAAGCCGTTTGTTTCTTCTCCCGCGTTGTCCCTTATTAGCTGGAGAAGGGGTGTTGTGCGGGCCCTCAGGAAGTTGCATTGCCCCCAGGATATCAAACCACCTGTCCTGGACACCAAGACCGATAGTTTGACTTCTTCCCCCCTCCATCTTGCCGCTCGCTCTCTCTTGCGCTTGGCCAAGAGACTGGTGGTGGGCGATCTGCGAAAGATTGCAGACGAGACCTTCACTAGAGGGATGACGAAGGCCGCCAAACCGCTGCACCAGGCGGCGCATCGACTACGACGGAATAGCCTAGATGTATACACTTTTGCTGATGAGTGTGTGCAGTTCTTGATTTCCAGTAAGAGTGAGCTTGTACGTGTCCTTGAACAGGATCGAGTTTTGCATCTTGAGAAGTGTGCGCAGGACATACAGATATCCGCTGATGCACGTATGCCACGACAGCAAGCTAGGCAGGTTAGAAAGCTGCTGGCCGCTGGCGGCCGCAAGGGAGGCAAGTTCCAGGTACCGGATGTTTTACCCATGATGGTCGCCCCCCCTCCCCTTTTGAAATCCAGGAGGCTCATGCAGCTGGGTTGGAGGCCCAAGATCGAATCCTCACATCTCAGGATGAAATAACCAGCCACATGCAGGCTCATTTTTGCACGGTGGAGTTTGGCCAGAGTGCCACATTGGATGATGTCGTCAGGGCCTTTAATGCCTGACCTGCTTCAGACCACAGTGTCACGCGACATTTCCGTTCTCCCCAGCGCGTTAGACATCGAGTGGCTCATGAGAGCCATCGAGGCGGGAAAGGCCCCTGGGCCCGATGGTTTCCCCGCCGATTTGTTTAAGGTCGCCCCCCGTGGTATTGCCAAAGGTTTATGCCCACTCTTTGCCAAAATTGAAATCGCGGCCCGTGAACCGATTGCGTTCAAACTGGGGGAGGTTACCTTCTTCTACAAGGGGTCAGGCCCTGCTCAGTTAGCCAAGGCCCAACGGAACATCACCATGGCTAGCACTGTATGCAAGCTGTACCACAGACACGTGCGCGCTTGCACTACAGTATTTGGCCCAGTGCCTGTTGGCTGAGCAGCGTGGGGGGGTTGCGCACCCGGGACCCGACATGGCTCTCCACGGGGTTTTCCTGGCCTCCCAGGCGTCTATTATGCGCGAGAGGTCCTTGCTTGTACTTTCTCTGGACTTAGTTGACGCTTTTTACAGTGCTATTAAGCAATTTGCTATGGACCTGCCTGGGGAGGAGGAAAAGCTCAGGGATGCTTTGGAGCGCGTAGATATACCGCCGCTTCTTCTTGAAGGCGCGAAGGGCTTGTTGGCTGCGCCCAAGTTGCTAGAGTCCAAAGTATCTAGCAGACATCTCATGGCTCTGATCAGGGAGACTCAGAGAGGCACGTTCTGGAGGGTGAGAGGAGCTGGAAACTTTGTCATCCCAGGAGGCGGCACGAGGCCTGGCACGGTCCTGGCCACATATGTGTTTAACTTGGTTTTCCGTAACGTTTTATTAAAGATCCGTGCCAGAATCAAGCCACTGGCGTGCAGTGTAAGGGAAGCGCTACCGCAGCCCGAAGAGTTTGTGTGTGCCAACGAGCAGGATTGGCAAGATGCGCAACCTGACCTCTCATTTGTTGATGATCTCACCGTTTCTCTATTCGTGCGTGTTGCCCATGCCATACCTCATGCAGCCCTTGCTTTGGCCGAATCAGTGTGCATTGCAGCATTGTCTGTCGGGCTTCGCCTCAATGCCGCCAAGACCAATATTTTGGTTGCCTTACGTGGGAAGGGGTCTAAGGGGGTGCCTGGTTTCTCGGACAGGTCACTGGAGGCTGTGGTTTCCGCCAAGTGGGGGTTCTCGTTTCCGATTGTTCAGCAGCACAAGATCCTGGGTGCCTTAGTGACCTCTTCGGGCTCCATGGCGCCTGAGATCACCGCACGCTTTGCCAAGTGCTTGGGACCCCTGAGGCCATTAAGGCCACGGTGGCTCCTAGTGAAGCTCTTCCCTTAGGAGCCAAGACCTTATTCGCAGAAGCGATTGCTGCTTCCGTGTTGT